AAAAATTAATAAAGGTCATAATTTCTATGCACCAAATCTTTTATAGGAGGCCTGTAATTTTAGCAATCAACCTGTCCTTATTCTGTTCAAATTTAAGGGCACTTGAGTCACTTTGGATGGTGTCACCTACAGTGAGAAGGAATCACAGTATGGATTTTTTTTTTTTTTTTGCCTATTATGTTTGCAAAAGAAACTTCACAGAATTGTCTAGCAACCTTGTGACCATTTGTTTTCTTTTCTTGAACATAATAATCCTTTTAACACTTTAAGATTGCCATTTTCAAGAAAACAGCTATGATTTACATAATTGAATTGTATTTGTTTTAAAAAAAAATTGTACTGCACTTTAGAATGAACAGTTGACCAAAGAAGGGTGCTTTTGCCATGTCTCTGAAAACATCGCCTATCAATACACTCCTTCCTAATGCTCCAGTATCAATTTCTTTACAATACAGTAGTGTAAAGGTGCCCTTTGGCACCAGCAAAGAAGAGATAGGAAGGTCTTTCTGAGCCTTGACATCATCCAACTTGGAGATGGCCATTTTTCACCCGTGCATCTCCTTGCTTTGCCATTTGGCATCCAGTCATTCAAAAAAACACCGTTGACCATCTACTCCTGACATAACTCAAGATGTGATTCTTGTAGTCACATTAGACCTTGCCTTATTCACTTTTATCCCCCAACATCTAGATCTGTTATACATTGTAGCAAACTTTCATAAAATATCTAAGGAAAGAAAGAAAAAAATAAAGAATATTGAATAGCCAGGTAATATAAACATGTATGTAGAAGTTTTACGACGTTAGGAAAAATTATTTGCCTTAAAAATTCACCATTCATTCTTCAACCTGTACATAGTATGCGTAAGTTCTTTGTCCCCAAACTGTTGGCAATACCAAAAATGGCCTTTAATCTTAACAATAAGTAAACCTTTGTAAAAATCCTTTTAAGCAATCAGTGCTTGTCAAACTCTCATTCAACAATCATCTGTATGAGAGGCTTCTAGGAACTTATTTAGGAATGAGGCTATTTGGGCTGAAATCCTAAAATAAAGAAATAATTGTTTTAACCAGGGGCAAGTTATGAATAAAGTTGAGTCATAAATCAAAAGAATGTTAACTGAAAAAGAAGTCCCAAAGCAGATGGTGAGACAGTGAAGATGATTAGAGAGCTTCTGCCCCATTTCAGAAGGAATATTCAGAACCAAAGGCACAAAAGAAGCAGATGAGGAGTGACCTCACCCGAGAGAAAATAAAAACGTTTTAATTAGGGGAGACACCAAGCAAGAACACCACAGTGTTAACAAGGGGTTGATGTTAACAGGTAAAATAACACTTTCCCACAGATGAGCAACCTGAGTTGATCTGTAATTATGAAATTGCAGATCAATATGTAATTATGAAACGCCTGTAATCCCAGCAGTTGGGAGGTCGAGGCAGGAGGATTGCTTGTGCCCAGGAATTTGAGACCAGTATGGCGGAAACCCGTCTCTACAAAGAACACAAAAATTAGCCAGGCGTGGTGGTTTGCTTCTGTAGTCCCAGCTACTTGGGAGGCTGAGGAGGGGGGATTAATTGAGCCCGGAATGTTGAGGCTGCAGTGAGCCATGATCATGCCACTGTACTCCAACTGACAGAGCAAGACCCTATCTCAAACAGGAGAAAACATTCAGCCAGGCACAGTGGCTCACACCGGTAATCTCAGCGCTTTGGGCTGCCAAGTATAGAACGTTGCAGGATAGAGGGGAAGAACTGCTTGGGGCCAGGAGTCTGAGAACAGCCCGGCAACATATGAATGCTCCTGTCTCTACAAAAAAAAAAAAAAAAATTAGCCAGGCATGGTGGCATGCAACTGTGGTCCTAGCTACTCAGAAAGTGGAGATGGGAGGATTGCCTCAGCCCAGAAGTTGAAGATACAGTGAGCTATGATCACACCACTGCACTCCAGTCTGGGCTACAGAATGAGACCCTACCTCTAAATAAATAAAATGAAATAAATTAAAATGAAATAAAATGTAAATTAAAAGTAAAAAAAAAGTAGGCACCCTAAGCCCATGGGAAAAAATCTGGTATTGGCAACTGAGTGACAGACTCCTCACCTTTAAGTAGAAAAATTGTTAAACTAAAATGTACAGCAGGCTCTTGAATAATGTCGTTGTTCAATGTCATTTCATTATAAGGTTGATGAGAGAAAGATCAATTCTCAGCAAGCGCCCTGTCTGAGTGGAGTTTGCACATTCTCCCCATGTCTACATCAGTTTCCTCCAGGTACTCCTGTTTCCTCCCACATCCCAAGACATGCCTGTTAGGTTCATTGTTGTGCCAAAATGGTCCCAGTGTGAGTGAGTGTGGTTGTGTGTGAATGAACCCTGTGATGGGTTGGTGTATGGTCCAGGGATAGTTCCTCCTGCCTTGCGTCCTGGGTGAGTTCTGGCCACCTGAGACCCTGAACTAGGATAATGGGGTAAATAATCACCTTAGTTGTTTTTATTAATCTTTCTTAAATATATCTATAGATCACATTTATTTCAGTGTTTAATATTATAAATGTTTTGGGGCTTAGGAACTTTTGTTTATATCAATTAACCTATGGTGAGATTGGTTTTGTTGTACGTCATTTCACTTAAAGTTGCAGTTTCCAAGAACCTATTAAGAATGCTAAGTGAGGACTTGCTGTATTCCTAATGCCAATTTTCTTTCACTTAGGTATAATTTGGTCAGGTATTAGGATACCAGGCACTGTACACTGTAAGTTAGATGAAGAGGG